CCTGGGCTCGCGCGAGCTCACGCACTACGGCGCCGCGAACGCGTTCCAGGACGGCCTCGCCGCCGCGCGCGCGCGCGCGGGCCTGCCGGCGCTCGCCGTGTCCTGGGGCACCTGGGCCGACGCGGGCATGGCGCACCGCTTCGGGTCGGGCTTCGAGGCCCACGTCAAGTCGACGGGCATGCGCTTCGTGCCCCTCGACGGCGGCTTCCGCGCGCTCGGCGCGCTCGCGCGGGCCGCGGACCGGCGCCGGTGCCACGCGGCCGTGCTCCCCGCGGACTGGGCCCAGTACGCGAAGCGCCGCGGCGCCGCGGGCCCGCACCCGCTCGCCGGGGGCCTCGTGCCGCAGCGCGCGGCGCCCGCGGCGGCCGCGGCGCCCGCGGCCGCGCCGCCGCTCCTCCGCGAGCTCGCCGCGGCCGGTGACCGGCCGGGCCTGCTGCGGTCGCGGCTCGTCGCCTTCGTCGCGGAGCTCACGGGCGGATCGGCGGGCGACGTCGACCCCGACGCGCCCGTGACGGCGCTGGGCCTGTCGTCGATGCAGACCGTGGAGATGATCAACTTCCTCAACGACGAGCTCGACGCGGACTTCTCGCCCACGCTCGTCTTCGAGCACGTGAGCCTCAACGGCGTCTGCGCCCACGTCGCGTCGGAGCTCGACGTCGGCCACGCGGCGGCGCCCGCGGCGCCCGCCGCGGCGCCCGCGGCGCCCGCGGCGTCCGCGGCGCCCGCGCTCCGCGTGTCGTCGGCCGCGTGCCGCCTGCCCGGGAACGCGAACCTGCCGGCCGAGCTCTGGGCGAACCTGCTCGCGGAGAAGGACGCCGTGTCCGACGCGACGCCGCCGGACCGCCCCCACAACGGGCGGCCGAGCGGCTACCTCGCCGCGGCCGTGCTGGTCGGCTTCGACCGCGCGGCGTTCGGCGTGTCGCCCGCCGAGGCCGCGGCGATGGACCCGCAGCAGCGCCTCTTCCTCGAGTGCGCCGCCGAGGCGCTCGAGGTCGGCGGCCGGCCCTGCGCGCCCGCGACGCCCGCGGCGGGAAGCGCGGCGGCCGTGGGCGTCTTCGCGGCCGTCGAGACCTCCGACTACGCGGCGCTGCACCAGCGCGCCGTCGACGACGGCGCGTGCCGGGGGCCGGACGCCTACTGCGGCACGGGCTGGCACGGCTGCGTCGCGCCGAACCGCGTGTCCTACCTCTTCGACCTGCGGGGCCCGTCGCTGGCGCTGAACACGGCCTGCAGCAGCTCGCTGACGTGCGTCGCCGTCGCGCGGCGCTCGCTCTTCGCCGGCGAGTGCGACGCCGCGCTCGTCGGCGGCGCAAACCTGCAGCTCATGGCCCACTGGTCCAACGCCTTCGTCGCCGCGGGCATGCTGAGCCCGACGTTCCGCTGCCGCTTCGGCGACGACGCCGCCGACGGCTACGTCCGCGGCGAGGGCGTCGGTGTCGTGCTGCTCGAGGCCGGCGATTTGGCGCCGGGCGCCGTAACCGTCGGCGGCGTCGGCGTCGGCCAGGACGGCCGGTCCAACGGCCTCACGGCGCCGAACCCGGCGGCCCAGGCCGCCGTGCTCGCGCGGGCCTACGGCGACTGCGCCGCGGGCGCCGCCGCGGCGAAAGCGGCCGTCGCGATGGTCGAGGCGCACGGCACGGGCACGCGGCTCGGCGACCCCATCGAGCTCGGCGCGCTCGGCGGCGCGGATCTCGGGGGCGGCGGCACGCTGCGCTGCGCGTCGATCAAGGCGTCCATCGGCCACCTCGAGGGCTGCAGCGGCCTCGCGGGCCTGCTCAAGGCCGACCTCGCGCTCTCGCGGCGCGAGAACGTCGCGCCGCGGAGCCTGCACTTCAGGACGCCGAACGCGCACGTGCCCTGGGCGAAGCTGAACGTGGCCGTGCTCGGCGCGGCGGAGACGCTGGCGCCGCCGGCGGCCGCCGCGACCGTCGGCGTGTCGTCCTTCGGCTTCGGCGGCGCGCTGGGCCACGTCGTCGTCGAGCGCGCCGCGGGCGCGGCGCCGCCCGCGGCCGCGCCGCCGCCGGGCGCCGTCGCCGTCGTGCCCATCGCCGCGCACAGCGCCGCGGCCCTCGCGGCGACGGCCGCGCGCCTCGCGGCCTGGGTCGACGCGGAGCGGCCGGACGCCGGCGCCGTCGTCGCCGCGGCGAAGGCGCGCGCGGCGCGCCAGGGCGCGAAGCGGCCCTTCCGCGCGGCCGTCCGCGCGGCGGGCGACCTCGCGGCGCACCTCCGCGCGGCGGCGCCGTCGGGCCCGGCGCCGGCGCGGCCCGCGGTCGCGCTGGCGTTTACGGGCCAGGGCGCGGCCTACGCGGGCATGGGCCGCGCGCTCCACGACGCCGGCGGCGCGTTCCGGGAGGCCTACGGCGCCGCCGCGGCCGCCGTCGCCGCGGCGGGCGCCGCGCGGCCGGAGACGTTCCTCGAGCCGCCCGCGCGGGCCGACCTCGACCTCGCGGCGCTCGGCCCGGCGCCCGAGGACGGCGCGGACGCGGACGCGCGCGCGGCCGCGCTCCTCGACGACG